ACTTGATATTATCATTAATACATACATGTACATATAATAAATATCTATCATTAAAATAGTTTCCAAAAAAAAAATAAAAATAAATAAATAAAAAATATTAATAATAATAAAATCACTTACTTGTGTGATATTTTGCGGTTTGTGCAAGTCTATTCTCGACGGAACATATTATATGTTGTTGGTAGATCGTTATGATGTCTTTTCAAGTGGACTGCATTTGATAGGTTAAAATTTTGAACCAATGAAATTAAGGACGCTTGTCTCATTTATTATCCGTATATCGACTTACAATTAGATCGATGAATTGCAAAATTTAATATACATTTAATATACGCAATTGAATTCATTGGCTCATTGTATACTGAGTCATGAAAAATATGCAAAGTTAAGGGCCTTTATATCGAAACGAATTAAATAATTGTGGGTTTCTGTTCAGTTCGAAAATGCTTGTCACTGTGCCTGTCTGCCTGTCTGCCTGTCTGCCTACGTACGAAATACAATAAAGTGGAAATATATGCCCATAATTATGAAAGTGGTCCAAGTCATATATTTTTCTTATTTCGAGATATTTAATGAATCGCATTTGAATTAATTAAAAAAATATCAAAAACATTATGCAACGTTTTCTCAATTTAGAATTTTCTTAATCTTAATTAATGGAACTCTATTATGTGTATGAGCTTTTGTGTGAATTTCATGCAAAAATGTTGTTTGAATTGACTTAGACCACTTTCATAATTACGGGCAGATATATATATATATAGTTTTTTGTTTTGGATATTTATTTAATTTTGTTTCTTTGGCTAGAAACATGAAAGGATGCGAGCTGATAAGACGATTGTTTGCTTAGCTCATATTTCTGAGTCTTTTATAATGAATGATGATTAATTCTAAATCGACCCTGGCGGCTCAATAAAGACGAAAATCACGGCACCGAACATTCATCGATTGATTGGACTATAAAGTGAACGAATTCAGTCAATTTTGAAGAGAGCTTTTCTTTATGACAATGAACATTAAATTTCAATTGTGTTTGCGCTATGCTAATCGTAGTAAACGACAAAAAAATTTTTTCCAACTTTCAGAAATCGACATCTCCTTAACAAAGTATCATTATTGGCATTTAAATAGTTTTCAGAGAAAAAAGAGAAAAAGAGAACATCATTGGGATACAGACGTGATCTAGCTTTGAATTTGCATAAAAACAATACAACAGATATCGCTACGAGGGATGAATTCCTCGATCCTCTCGCTTTCTTACTTTCACGCGAAGGTCGAATTTTTCGCTTCAGAAATGCGTTGCGTATAACATTTCTTTATAAAGCAGATATTCCTATGCAATATAGTACGGGTATCGTTTACTCCACTGCCGCCTAAAATCATAATAATTTGCATCACAATTTGCGTAACTCGGATTTGTTTGGGGCGTGCAAACAAAGTCTTCGAAAATTTACAAAAGCTAAAAATTTTCTATAAATAATCCTTTAAGTAGTCAAGAATGACATATAAATTCGATTGTGAGCTTGGAAAAATGGTCAAAATATATGATTTTTTAAACATAATTCAAAAGCAGTAGGCGGACACTTGAAACTTTAATCCTGAAATGGATGAATTTTTGTTTTGAAATTCAGAAAATTGTTTTGTTATGGGGGGAAAATTTGAAAAAAAGTTAAATTAAACTGGTATGTAGACAATTGGCAACATTATGCATTTAAGGGTTAAATGCTTGTTTTACGATCCACAATTTTTGAAGGCAGTCCGCAGCATAGCGTAAACAAATTTCATTCTTTTAATACGAATTTTTTGCAGTATCCTTGAAACAACATTCTCGAAAGAAGCTGGTTTTTCTAAACCTTTGCTTTTTCACAAAAACTCCTATCCTTTTTTTTTTGTCGGAGATTGAACTTTTTCATTCAAGCAGTTTTCAATCGCGCAAAAATCAATATTTGTGTATGCAGGAATACAGATTAATGGGATTCTTTTCATTTTCATTCTGCTTTGTTTTGTTCCTTAAATTGATTGTGAATAATGTTTTTTAATGTTTCCTCAATACATGCGAACCTCGCGAAACGTCACTATAGAATTGACTTTCTCTTCATCCAAAAAAAAAAAAAAAAAACAAAAACAAAAATTGTCTAAAAATTTCATTTTATAACCTACACCACCACTACGCCACAAGGGTATACTAAGTTTGTGCGGATGTATGCAATATATTAAGCAGCTTGAGATAGAACCATCTTCTTTTATGCCGATCGATTCAGAATTATTTTCGGAATCCTTCTCTGAATTGATGCAAGGTTGTCTGTCGGTCCGTCTTGTCTCTTTTCGGGAAATATTTTGATTAATATATGATTTTCTCGATAAATGCCTTTTTCAAATGATGATGAAACATGATCAAAATACATGCAAGTATTTAATATGTAAAATGATACATATACACACATATCGGTCACATCGTACTATAAGTAATCGATATAAGCTCCTGTAATTTGATAAACAGTTTTTCGCATTTTTAAAAACCAAGAGAAAGCGACCTGAACTGTACTTTCAGAAATTGTAATGAATTTTTGCAAGTAGAAAAAAGTCAAAATGGTTTTCTTTCAAATTCTCTTAAAATTTCTTTCCTTGTATTACAATGCTGCGCGCCGAGCAAGTCTAAAATTAATATATTCCCTTAGCCATACGGTCAAGTTATAAGTTTTGATTGTAAAATGCAAGTGCACCTTAAAAGGGTGTAATACGAAGACCTTGCTATGCTTCTATAACATGACGTAAAAAAAATGAAATTTTTATTGCTTTACATGATAATCGTAATTGTATCGTTGTTCGTGACATTTTTCGTTTTATTTCATTTTCAGGCGATTTTATTTTATACACCAAGATGGCTGTGGAAGTCTTGGGAAGGTGGCAAAATTCATGCACTTATCATGGACTTAGATATAGGAATCTGTTCCGAAGCCGAGAAAAAACAAAAGAAGAAATTACTTTTAGATTATTTATGGGAAAATCTCAAGTAAGCAGTGACATCAATATTTTTTTTCCTTTCTTTTTTCAATTAATTATTTATTATTATTTATTTATCTTGAATGTTTTCACGACAGATATCACAATTGGTGGGCGTACAGATACTACGTATGCGAGTTATTGGCTCTAATAAATGTGATAGGTAAGTAAATGTAAAAAAAAAAAAAAACAAAAAAACAAAAAGAAACAAAACACAAAACACACAAGAAAAAGGACGTGTTAATTCATATTTCATAAAAAAAATCTCTCAAGAATATATATTTCATAATATAACTAGAAAATCATTAAAAAAGAGAGAGAAAAAAAAAAAATCGAATAATTGACAAATGTTTTCTAAATTAAAAGAAACAACAAAGCAAAAAATTGATACAATTTATAAGAAAGCAAAAAAAAAAAAAAAACACAAAACTTATGTTTGTTTACACTACGTCAAGGTGTATGAGTACATATCCGTGTGCGTGTTTGCGTTTATGTTTGTGTGTCGATGTATGCGTGGGTGGGTGGGATGCTTTGCTTAAAAAGCCACAATTTTCGCTTGGCGTTTCGATTTCTTTTTTTTTTTTTTTTTTTTTTTTAATTTTTTTTCTCTCATCCAACATAATAAAATAAACAAATCACAAATTTAATGTTGAAAATTTTTATAAACTGACCACTAGTGAATTGTATATAAACGATGTACGGCCAAAATGTGTAAATAAACACAAATTAAAATCGACCACAACAACAATAATAATAATAATAATAACAACAACAACAACAATAGCAACAGCAATAGCAACAAAAATAACATTTGCAACATTTAACAGAAATTTCGCACTGCCGTTATTAGTTTAATGAATTAATGTTTTCACATTGAAATTTTTACACCCGTTCCTTCCACTCTACGAGTATATTAATTTTCTCATTCTGTACGCAACATCAATCATTTAATTGATATGACAGAGGCATTTTTAAAAAAGCGGAAAATGAAACAAGAATTTTTCATTTATCAACATCGAGTATATAACCAGTGAATCCGCTATAACTACATATATATATATATATATATATATATATATTAACCGACGATCTCTTACTTTTAAGGAAAATCATGAGTCATTTATTGCAATCAAATTTCAAATGAAAATAATGCCTCAAATCCCTCATTAAGACCTCTTTTAGCACATAAGAGGGCGAGAGAGAGATGGAGATAGGGTTCCTTATTCAGGATCTGCCCTTATTAAAATGCTATCGTCAACTTATCGAAAGCAGAGAGAAAGACTCCGATTGCTCGTTTTCATGACATCTTAATCAAGCCTTCTGTCCTTCTGTCTGTCGTTCTACATATTATTTGTGTTCCAGGAGAAGAGTACACAGTGAACTGTGCTTTAAGCTTAGACACTGTAGTTGTATTAGGAATAAAATATCGTACAAATGTCCAACATGACCATAACGCACACACGACGACTCCAATTATTAAGCACTCCGCCCGATATTAGTTGGATTATGTCTGCGATAGCTTAATGATGAATGATCGCCTCCTTTTCCGTTATGTGGTAGTTGCGTTTAATGATTACGATGTAAGCATATCTAACAAATCAAATTAGGTGTGAGTTGGAATCGAGCCATGATTTTCATCTTCGCATAACATCAAAAAAGCAAACAAAACCCTGTTAATTGCTTACAAACACATACACGCACACGCTCATTCATTACTATCGATTTCGATGGAGAAATTGACTTAAGCACGAAACCATACAACACCTATTATATATGTATGCATATGTATAATCAGCATGTGCATTTTTCTAACAATTGATAATAAAAAAAAAAAAAAGAGAAAAAAAAAAACAAATTCTTTTATTAAATATTTACCTTATATTCTATGGTATATGAGAAAAATATTAAAAATACTTTAAGCATTATTCGAACTAACTAAATGCTCAAATGTTTCCAAACACACTTGTTGAATATCAAATCTATTCAAATCTATGAAAAAGAGAATTTCGTTTCCAACCTTCACTTCGAAAGCTAAGCAATTTTCATTGTCCAACTCGCTTAAACGCAACTCAGTAAAGTTAATTTATGCCATGGAAAATTGCAACATTGAAAGCACAATGCGTTCATTGTCCGTTACTCTATAGCCAATAAAGGAAGGAAAAAAGATGCCGAGTTTTTTGGTTTAATGAAAACCAATCGCAACAAACGAAGGTAGATTTGATTAAGAACAGGATAAACGCCATGTATTACTTAAACGTAAGTTTCATATAACAGTAATAGAGCGTATAGGTCTGTCATATAAGTAAGCTAGCTTTATAATGACCTAGGCCTAGGCAACGAAATCTTTATACAACATTCACGAAAAGTAGTCTTATTATCAGTCTACATCAGTTATGATACATGTTATATGTTAAGTTTGTACGAATGTGTACAAAACCCAGAAAGATTCGAGATAGACTAACCTCGTACTATATGCATCGATTCAGCATAACTTTCTTGTCTCTGTCATCTGTTCCAATGTTTCAGTACGGTGTTTGCCACACACATTTTTTTTTTTTCTTTCATTTATTTCAAAACACGTAAGCAACGATTTGAAAAACATTTGATGGAAATCATTTTTCATCAATATTTACCGAACGACGAAAAGTATATTCATTCGTCATTCTGTCTGCATTGTAAATGTATTCTAAGAACAACTATTCATTCAACAAGTGTTGATTGATATCAAGTTAATTAATTCGCAATAAAATGTATAATAAAAGAATTTCAATTTCAATTTCAATTTCAATCTCAATGCTTTGCTGCTTGATTCTGATACGTTTTTTACTTCAATTTATTTATTTTGTTGAAAATATTAGGTCAAATGTTTCTTATGAATCGATTTTTCGATGGCGAATTTATGACATTTGGCTTAGATGTGATACAGTATATGGAAGCCGATCAGGAAGATCGTATGGATCCGATGATTTATATATTCCCAAGAATGACCAAATGTACATTTTTCAAATACGGTTCAAGCGGGGAAGTAAGTAAACTTTCAAACTTAACTCTTATCTTCGTTCACTTATTCACTTAATATAATGCTATTCATCATTTAAAATTATGTATATATGATATACGTGTATATGATTTTGTGATTTCTCTTTAATAGGTGGAAAAACATGATGCCATATGCATATTGCCGTTGAATGTTGTTAATGAGAAAATCTATATTTTCCTTTGGTTTTGGTTTATATTATTGACGATTTTAACGTTATTAACACTAATATACAGGGTGGTTATTATACTTTCACCACGTATGAGAGTGTACTTATTTCGTATGCGATTTAGGTATGAATTAATGAAAATATATATTATCGCTTTTCCTTTGCATAATTTCATATTAACTAATATCATTATGCATTTAATTTTATATACAGGTTAGTGCGTCGGGACGCTATAGAAATAATCGTTCGTCGTTCCAAGATGGGCGATTGGTTTTTATTGTATTTATTAGGTGAAAACATAGACACGGTTATATTTCGTGATGTTGTACAGGACTTAGCCACTCGTTTAGGACATAACCAACACCACAGGGTGCCTGGACTGAAAGGAGAAATACAGGATGCATGATATTGGGAGTATTAGAAGCCATGCAGAATGCAAAATGTCGTCTCCATCTGAAAACCAAAAAAAATTGAAAAAATCCTAAAAAAATTAACAAAAAAATATATATTCATCATTCGTATATATATGTGTATATAAAGATATATATGCATATATACATGTACATGAAACATGCCGCGAAACTGCTTGCCAAAAAAATAATTCGTCATCAAATCAAAAAAACTAAAAGTCAACATCAGCTGCAGTAGCCGCACAACAGCAAAGAAAACGAAAAAAAAGAAACAAAAAAAAAACAAAAAAAAAAAAAAAAACGAAACATCAAGGTCAAGGAAACTGTGTGATTCAATGAAATTGAACAATAGCAGCAGCAACACGAACGACAATCTCAGTTATGCATCATAAGTTTCCGTAAACGCAGCCATCATTGCACCCACACGCCATAGAACGCCAAAAAAATACATTAACATCATTGTTAGTTTTAGTCGTGCATTGTCATCAAGGCAACGGAAAAATTGCTGTAAAATTTTTTTTAAACAAGCTAAGGATCAACAGACAAAACAATCTTTCAGGCAGCCTGTAATGAATCAGCACTATTTTCCTGTTGGCAACATCAATATCATCGACACATCAGCATTTGTTAACTGGCCAACGCTTAAACTAGTCTTTCAAGCTAATACACATTAAATCATCAACAACTACAGCAAACAGCAAACAGCAAACAGCAAACAGCAAACAGCAACAACATTATCATCGATTCTAGATTCTTAAGCTTGTGATAAAAAATATTAAAAAAAAAAATCATTTGGAGACGACGACCGGTGTATGATTGCATTTTTGTATTGGGTCCAACAACACAAAAATGACATCTTTCACAACAAACAGTGTTCATTTATGTAGAAATTGAAAAGCTAAACAAACTTGTTTTGTTCACTTTTTTTATAAAAAAAAAAAAAAAAAAAATTTTTTTAAAAAAATTAAAAAAAAAAAAAAAAAAAAAAAAGATCATGAAGCTCAATACGCGAAATATCCCAAAAATCATGTTTTTATACTTATATGAAAAATAAAATAAAAAACAATAAAAATAATCATATATGTATATCATAACAAAAAAAGAAAAAACAAAGCTATAAAACTTCCTTTTCATAGAATTATCAAGTCATCAAAGAACAAAAAAAAAAAAAAATACAAATAAAAATAAAATAAAAAAAAAAAAAACAAAAAGGAAAAATCAATTAAAAATCAATACAATAGCGCGCATCATCTAATAACCGTAAAACACATATGTAAACATTTTTTAAAATAAAATTCTTAAACGAATTATAATATAAAAAAATGATGAGAAAATATCACAGATTTAAAGGCCAACACCAAACAACCAACAACGTCTTTAATCGTCAACCGTCAATCGTCATTGTTGCATACACATAGGCGTATAAATCATTAATAAAACCTCGAATCACTTACACACACATACATATACATACATATATACATATATACATGCATACACACACACACACACACACACACACAAATAGACATAAAATCATTTCATCTCCTCTTACATAGCACGTACACACATTTACAATATGTTAGTATTAAAACTTTATCGAAAACAACAATCAACAGCAGCTAAAACTCATTCGGTTTACTACCTTCTTCTCGTTTCACACTTATCATCCATGCAAATTGAACAAAAAAAAAAAGGAAAAAAAAGAGAGAAAAATTCATTGCAATTGATTTCTTGATCGATCACCACGTTTGTACGACACAACGTACGTACTTGTATAGTGTTAAAAAGTATATATGTACTGTTTTTTTTTTTTTTTTTTTTTTTTTTTTTTTTTTTACCTTTTTTTCTTTCTTTCTTCAATTATTTAATAAATGCAATTATTTGTTGTTATATTATCATACATACATGCAAACATGCACTACGCATACATCTGGCCATATACTTTTCATCATGAATTCACACATACACATACATACATACATACATACATACATATAAACACAAACACACACACACACGCATGCACGCATGCACGCACACTATCCGGTGCATTAGCTAAGAGTTGCCTTTTTTCAATCTGTTTTTTTCTATTTTTGTTTTTTTCGCATTTCAAAAACGTACAACGGTGCAGTACATAAGTTTTTAATATCCGTCCAAAAATATTTAAACATGCATTACCACAGCATTTAGTCATTTATTCAATAACGTTGTTACAGAGGACAGTCGTCTACCTTATAAATACAAGTCGTATGGCAAATGGTACTCTTTTTCTTTTTTTTTTCTTCTTCTTCTTCTTCTTTTCCTTTTTTTAAATAAAAGACCAAATTGTAATGGTATTGCAGAGAGAGTTTTTCTTCCCTTTTTAGTGCACTTTTAATAATCAATGAACAGCTTTTTCTTCCATTTTCTCTTTCTCCAACTTATTCAAAAAGTGCTGAGCTATTAAGAAGTCAAATTTCATAGGCTCATTGGATCCTGACTTTCGGAGAATTAATATCTCCTAAGCTTTAAAGTCGACAATTCTCTAAAATAACAAATATATATATATATATATATATAACAAGTACATATATATACATGTATATACATGTATGTAATCAAATTGTTACTAGTAAAGCATGAATCGAAGCCAAGGCCAACCTGTTTACAATCCTTGTGCATTTATCTGTACGGTCTATAAGAGAAGCAGCGCAAAGCTACTTCTATCGTTGAGTTCATTAATTTTGCTTTCTATTATGAGATAATTTCTTCGTACAGGATAATGCGTAAGCACTTCATTTTCAATTTATAAGAACTTGTCATTACGAATGCCTCATATCGTAATCGCGGCATTATTTCCCATGCACCATTTCCCCTGTTGTAAGGGTTAGTGTGTTCCTATACTCTGGTTAAAGAACTTTTGTAGAATGAAACGATCAGTTTAAGAATCGGAATGGAGAACATCGGTACATGCTTTATGCATATATATAATCAGGCATAATTGTCGTGCTATAGCGCCTCCTATCATTCTATTCTTTACTTATTATTAGCCAATATTTTGATGCGCCCGAATGATGGGGGCTAACTAACTGACTAAATGAATTTCGAAAACAATATGAGAGTAATATTTATTGGAAGACGTTTCAAGCGCATTTATTGCAATTGAAGTACTGAGATGTTTTTGTGCCCTAACAACACACATGGGCGTAACACAGAGTTATGAGAGCTTCTTCGAATCTCTAAGAAATTAGGTCGAATAAAACGGCCTTGGTTGCGCTTGCGGATTATATGATCTTCAACACAAAACAAAAACAATAAAGAAATGCGATCGCATTTAAGTAACCCGGAGAAATCGGAGATAAAAAACTTACATTATTTATTCAAAGTTGATTATTGTCAACGTTATTCCGTGCCGTGACTCTAACTACTTTCAATCTGCCCTGTAGTAATAGACATTAATCCTGTGCTTCTCTGCACAATTGACTTCCAATTCTGCCTCGCCATACATATACATATATATGCGGTAACAATTTTGAACAATATTAATCGTATATATGCTTAGGCGCAGTAAGTGGCTATTGAATGCAAGGCTTATTTTCTTATTCTTATTCTTGTTCTTATTCTTTGCAATTGTTACACTTATAAAAAACAACTATCATAATGGGTTAACAAGAAAGACATTTTTTAAGAGAGAAAAAAAAAAAAAAAAAAAAAAAAGAAAAGAACAGAAAAGAAAAAGCATAAGTTTTTCTATGCCAACAGCATATTTTCCTTGCTTTATTGAAAGAATTGAAAGGTTACACGTAAAAAACGAAAAAGGTCCTCAAAACTCTCCTCCATATACTATACGACAAGGATGATGATGATAATAACTTAAATAGGAAAGTTGAGCACATTATGAAAACCAAAGCCAGTACATGCAGAAATATAAAATAAGAAAAAATAAAAGAGAAATTAATAAATAAAAAATCAATAAATAAATAAATAAATAAATAATAATAATAATAATAATAATAATAACAGTGAAGGAAGAAAACAACAAAAGGAAAAACCCTGCCAACAACATCTTAGAAACAAATAATAGACAAATAATTATTAGAAAAGAGAAACCATTATCATAAATCGACCGACAGAACAGAATAGAACCAAACCAATGGTGAATAAATCCATCATCATATCACTTAAGCAACTCTTAGCTTTACTTCAGAAAGACCGAATCTAAAGAGTTTGATTGTATGGTAATATAACAACAAGCGAAAGCGCGGTGCTAACAAATAATAATAATAATAATAATAATAATAAT